TAATTAATTTTGAAATTCATTTAATAGTTTGCTTTACTCTTGAATTGGTCCTTTAATACTATTTTAAATAATACATTGACAAAATAATAATATGGAAATATCAAAGGGAAATAAAATTAAGCTGGGTAAAGTTCACTATCTAAAATACATTAATGAGGTTATTATATTATATATATTTGTGATGTCTCAGATTTAATTTAAACTTGCAAGCAGCCACCTGAAAGAAAGAAGATCAGTTACTCCTAATAGCATGGAAAGCGTTTTTAGAATATCTCAATTAATTGGAAGAAACTCAGTGATTCCTGGGCTGGGTTTTGAGAGCAATTTGTCCCATTGGTTCTCATAAGAAGGACTTTTCTTTATGATATAATGGTCACTATATTTAGCAACAAGGTCCCGCCAGGAAGTGCAGGCTGGCCTGAAACCCTCAATCCTCCTACCTCGGTTTCTCAAGTAGTGGATTACAGGCATCTATCACTGTGTCCAGCTTTAGCAATGTTCTTAATCATGAATTCCTCCATAGATTGAGTAGCTTTTGCTTCTTTTTTTTCACGATGAAATTATAAAGTGCCTAACTATAAGTGTCTCATTCTGAGTTCCAAACTAAAGTGCTTGTTGTAATTGTAGAGCCGCATGTCCCCCCACCCCCAGCTCCTACCTTCCAAAGATGTTAGAATCCTAATCCTGCTACAATAGCCTTATCCAGAACTTGAGAGAATAGACGTCTGCGTTTGCCACAATTCACCTTGTGGTGCTGAATTACAACAACTTATAGAGCTAACACACTGCTCAACAGTTTGCAAATGTATAGATGAGTTTTATGTACTGATTGAACTGAGGGCCCTTTAGAAATTAGCAATGATGCTATGATCATCTACGGAAAAAGAGTGAAGTCAGCAGCTCTAGGCTAGCCTCAGCTAAATAGTGAGAGTCTTATCTTAAAAAAGAGGAAGAAGAAGAAAAGGATGAAAAGGACACAAGTAATTCCATCAAACTCATTTTAATCCATTTAATCTATTTCCATTGAAGTCAGTGTTTCTTCATAAAAATGTATTTACTATGTGCCTAAATGATCAATAATTTACTATCAAAAGGTCTGTTGTATACGTTTAGCCCCTACTATGTATCCATTTTATTTGCAATCACGTGCAACTTTCTATGTCACACATTATTGGTGGGTATCTGTCTATAAACAAGTATTCAAAAATACTTATAAAAATAATATATATGGAAGTGACCATCATTACACAAAGTACTTAAAACTTTCTCTAGAAAGTTCCTGTCCAATCTAAGTATAGTGGTGCACATCCTTAATCCTAGCCCTTTTGGAGGTAGAGGCAGGCAGATCTCTGTGAGTTCAAGGCCAGAGTTAGTCCCAGGACAGCCATATATATGTATAGTGAGACCCTGTCTCAAAAAAAAAAAAAAAAGGAAGAAAGGAAGTTCCTGTCCCTATACGCCATCACTACGAAGGGGCATTTTACACTTAATTATTTGTGTTACAGAACTCTTATTATATCTACGTGTGAATTCTACTGTATGTGGGTACTCTTGCTTGCTTTTCATTAGTCTGTTTCTTAGAACACATATCCATGATACGAAGCCTTATCTTCCTCAACCATCTTGAAGAAATCGAATAAACCAAGGGCTCCCTGAACCTAGAGAAAAAGAGAGTGAAAAATGAGTCAAGAAGAAAAATTGTGTTCTGAATTTAGTAAGGGCACTGGCTACTAAAATCGTTGCAAAACCTGAGTCCTTCCTACTTTATCCAGGCGGCACTGGTGGGTCTCACACCCATCACAAACCATGGAACTTAGGAAGGTTTCCAAACAAATGGGAATCATGTGCCAGGAGCTTCTTCGGAAAAAAAAAAAAAATCCACATTCTTTTCTATGATTCAATAATGTACTTGAAAGGCACTTACTTTCTAAGAACAATGATAGCTTCCATTTAAAAAGCAGAGATTAAAATCTCTCAGGTTTTCAAAGTAAGAGCTATCTTTGCGGACTTGAAATGTCGAACAAGAAGAAAACCCATACGAAATTAAACAAAAGCAAAACCATGGTAAGCAGTCCACTGGGCCATGGAAAAATGGAGCACTTCAATGCTCACATGTTTACATGAAGTGTTCACCCAGTCTAGGCTCATCTCTCCTGTCAGAAATATGAGGACTCACACTCCCCTGTGCTTGTAGCATTCACAGGCTCCCCCCACCCCCAAATTTGAGCAGAAACACTCCTCCTTTCTAAAGAACAGCATCTGGCCTCTTCGGGTGCTCATTTGCATGCCAATACTGGATTGCTCTCCCAGTGCACAGCTATTTAATAGTGGTGCTGGTGTCCGAGCTCTGGGAACAAACCAAATGGTTTGGGTGTGCTTTTGTGTGCACTGCAGGTCGTTGCCACAGTGTGTTTATTAAGAATAGTACACATTCATTATAACAAGATTGCTCTTTTGCTCAGGGGCCATCATGGCACATTCTGTAAATGAATTAACAGTTGCATGCATTTGTGTATTATAGGCCCAGAAGATGCATTTGTTTATTAAATAAATCTGTAACACAGAAAGTACAGTTGAAAGAAATTGAAAAAATAATGAGAGTGCTCGAGTGTGCACGTACAGTAGCTCTGTGTGTGTGTGTGTGTGTGTGTGTGTGTGTGTGTGTGTGTGTGTGTGTGTCTTTGAAACCTTAACATCTTGGCGAGTTTTCTTCCTTTGTTTCTTTTAAAATTACAAGAGATCAGGGGGCCAAACTGTGGACTCACAGGCTGCAAAAACTGATGTAAAAAATAGAAAAGGAATTTAAATTACAGAAGTGTAAAACATTTCCAGAAGTGGTATTGCAAATTATTACCTACCTCTAGAATGATTTAATATTAGATTCTTTTGTTGTTCTTAAAAATGCTTTTTTCTCTAAAATTATTATTATTATTGTATCTATTTTTAGTTTTGGCTAAAATTTAGCTTGTAATGTACATATAATTTTCCCCCATTCAACTTTATGTTCTTTTGATACGTAAGCTGTGCTTTTGAAATACAAATTCAGTAAATGGCGATCCTCTTTTTTTCCCAACATTTTGGCTAAGGTGTAGCTAACATAAGTATATTTACTAATATGAGTTAGTCTGTTGGATTTTATTGCAACTAAATAATGATTTTGTGCCAGTCCGATGACAGTTCAATAATGATTTTGTGCCAGTCCGATGACAGTTCAGAGTAACACTTAACTTGGGGTATGTTTTTAGATGTGGCTATTCTCCATTTCCCTCAATTTATACTTTGTATCTTGCAAAATATTTAAAAATATGAAATGCCATAAGACTCCAAATACTCAACAGCACTACAAGGAGGCCCATTAAAATGAGCTAAGGAAACCAGAAAACAAACAACCAAAAAAAGTCATATTCCCCAAATTTGGAAATTCTTATATTATTAAAAGAATAATTTAAAAAAGGTACATTGATTCTTAACTTTTAAAAATCTTTCTAATAAATGCAGGGTACTGACTGGATCTTGCCAAAACGTATTAAAAGTCTGGTTCAACGAGTAGATTAGGATTTCATAGATTTTTAGCTTAGCAAAAGATCCATAACACTCTTTTAAGGGTACCCACCTAATTAGTACACATGCAACACAGCAAAGTGTGTTTTGTAGGAAATGTGGCAGGATTTAGAGCTATTCCCCATGCAGAGAGTACACGGAGCTGTGTGAGGAGGTCAGCTCTGCTCTCACAAGGCATCGCAGACACTCACTGTTTTGTCCTTAAAGAAGGTATAGTCAGCTCGGCTGATTACTGAAAAGAAAAGAAAAAAAAAAACCTGACTATTTTAACAATTGATTTAATAATTATGAAAGGGAGAAGAAATTGTTTGAAACCCAGTTTCTTTCCTTTCATCTTTTTTTTTTAAAGCTCTATTTTTCCGGGGCATTTTATTTATTCTGCTGCTTTTAGAGAGGCCAGCCAATCAGAACGCCTGCGTGGGCCCAGGCCCAGGCTCAGTGCTGAGCTCCAAATGCGATTCGAGTCCTGACAGGGGGATTATAGGAAACAGATGACTTACGCTTCTAATTTGTGGCCTTAAATTGCAAACAGAATTTCAGGAGTCGAGCAGAGTAATAAATGGCAATAGAAAAAGCCACACACAGCCAAATCAGTATGTGGTGGTTGTAGGTTAAACTAAATGGGAAGAGACAGGTTATGATGGTTCAGTGTATTACAGAGAAGAAAGTCTTAAATTACTCGTGCTGAGAGGTATTGCTCCATGGCAGACAGTATTGCATTGTGTAGTCTACAGATATCACGAACAGAACAATAAAAAAGCAGCTTTACCATGGAACCTGTTGCTGGAGGAATCCTGGGCTTTTCCTCTTAGAAATGGAAGCCGTGTTTTATGCTTGTTTTGACCTCTGTTGTATTCTTGGCCCCTTAACATCTGTTTCCTACCGTGGCTGGTTTTCACACCAAATTAAATGTCGAGGAGTCAGATAAAATAAGTTCAAAATATGTCCAAATTATTTTTGTTGACTTCTAACAAATGTCTCAGTAACTCTTTCCACACGGAATGATACCATTTAAATGCCAGCATTGAAAATAATTTTCCTTTCAACATTTTTACGAGCTAGAGAAAGGAATTTTGAGGTGTACTTAAACTCGGAAAATACTACATTGGCCTTTTTGGTAACTTGTACGCCTGTTTCAGACTTGCTTTAAGGCAATTTCTCATGTAAAATTATGTGCATTTGTTGGATAAAAGTTCCAGGAAAATTGCTTAACAATAGCATATAAAGAGCCATTATTCTGAGCTGTTTCATGCTATAATACCAGGCTGTATAAGAAAAGTTCACTGTGTAATGTGTATCAAATAATTGGTACTTGTTTACTGTAATAATCTGTGAACTTATATGTTTATGTAAACACAATATAGGAGTTAAGATGATAAGATTTTGCTGCCAAAAGCCTGACCATCATGAATCAATGGTATGAAAATAAGAGAATGGCACTGTTTTCAATTTCTTATCACATATACATACATACATACATATATATGTACACATATATTTAAAATAAATCATCTTTCTTTAAGAACACCACCGACTTCTATGTTTAACATATCTATCTGGGATTAACAACCACTTTATGGAAAGGGTTTGTAAAAACAATTTCCCCAGTCTATATCATCTATTGTCACTCTATGAAAAGTAACCTTCAATGAGTGACCAGAGAGCAGGGCCAATTGTAGACCACAATGAAGTGCTGGGTGTGGGGCTGTGGAGAATTAACAGCTTTTAAAAAATATTTTCCTTATGAGTAAGACTTCCATTGAGCTGAATTTTAACTTGAACCATTTGCTTTGTGTGCTAAAGAGAATCTGTTAGCTGATGTATACCGGAGAAATAGAAGATTTTCATTGTGATACTCATCAAGTTTGTTGATAATCGTTGAAGATGACTGGTAAACAGATTTTGATTAATCGCCTGCAAAAAATCACGCTCAAAAGGCCAGGTGTAGTCTGTACCATGGTGATATCAATGTAGGCTATACTATTTCTTTGTATATGCTGTAGGTTTTGTTTTTAATTCACCTGGCAAAAGAAAAATGAACCAGAGCTGAAGGGTTGACTCTAACACAGAAACCTCTTTTCATGCCTTTCTTTTCTTTTTTTTCCCTAGAAATGCCCAATTATTATTTGTGTCATAGTGGGAAGACTGGGCCTTTATGGGACCCGAACCTTTTGAAGGAGCAATGGCTTTTGTTTTTGTACCCCATCAACACTGATCACCTAATTAAATCTGATATCTCTGGCTGAAGCAAATGATTTGTAATAGTGTTTTTGGAGTATACTTAATTAGTTTCGATGCCTTTTGTGAGGTAACTGTGGTGGTATTTTAAAAAATGGGGTGGAAACAAGAGGCGTTACATTTAGTCTCTAGAGTGGTGGGAGAGGTGACTGGGAGGGTGACCTGGTGTGACCAAGCCATAAAGCAAGGTGGAGTTCCAAGGCAAGGGCTCGCAGATGAGTCATTCATTAGCTGTATCATCAAGCAGGCCTAAACTGGAGAAAAGCTTTTTGTCAAACACAGGTCTGAACGTCTGTCAGGCCCCAGATTCCACACCTTGATCAGCCCAAGACACCGACACCATTTTCATTAACAAACAGCAACAGTCTTTTGTCTCCTTCACTTTAACATTTCTCAAGGGTTGAATTCCCTCTCTTCTGCTGCTCTTCGGAGAGTAAAGGGAGCTTGTTAAGTCGCTTAGATATTTTGACTGCGGATGCTCTTTGGCCACTTGCCTGTGGCAACAGTGTCAAAGCATAACTTGGTATAATTGCTGCATTGCAGGCAAAAGAGTGTCTTGTCTTTATGTTCAAGCTGCTGAACAAAAAGGAAGTGTCATTTTGGAAAAATCCTGTGAATTATCCTCAAAGTCCAGGCAAAATTTAATGCATATCATACCTGTTATGACTTTTATTCCTTGCCTGTAAAACAATGGGAATGTAGTTAAGTCAATTACATGATGTTAAATTGAATGTGTGTGTGTGTGTGTGTGTGTGTGTGTGTGTGTGTGTGTGTGTGGTGAGATTGAGTAACAATAAAACAAAATTAAACTTAAAAGTAAAAGCAGCAGAACTAGGCTCTTAGTAACTTTAAAAGTGACTAGAAAGCATTAAAAAATTTTAATTAACCATTGAGTCACAGTTTATATATAACATGGAGCACAAATGACAATTTTGATAGACGTCTGTGTGACAGAGATGTGCATAATTTACATGTATTAGCAATACCCACTCTGTGTGCGGAAATTAGGATTATAATATCATATAAACTTTAAAAGAATATAGCAATCCAAACCATGCTTATTGTAGAATGCGTATTATAGACTTTTGAAACCATGATGCTGTGTATGTTCTGTGTTTAGTACATACTCTGCAGGAATACCTGAAAAAATGTGATTTGTGCTCGCGCTCCTCCATTAGATAATATGAAATGTGGGGCACATGGTAATGAATGATAGAAAAACCACATATTTCCCTTTAGCCGTTTCCATGCAAGATGCATGTATGTAAATCTTCAAGGATGAGTCTTAACAGAGAGTGTGCCTGCTATGCGTTACATCATACTGGTTCGCACAGGGCTGCCAAATGCTGGCCATTCTTTAGTCTGAGAAAAATGATCTTTCCAGTTAAGTACACCCTCCCCATGCCTCACAAACTGTACAAAACTGCATGCTGTTGGCAGGTAATGGCTTGTAATTAGCATGGCGGGCAGGTAATGACTGGAAATCACCTGCCAATTGTTTCTGAGTGTTTGCTCTCTTTCAAAACCGGGATGAGAGGAAAGTCATAGGGGGCTGTAAGGATGCAAACAGAGGACAGGGGAGCGATACCACCCAGGGGTCTCTTTCTGCATAGACAGTCTCCCTATTTGTTTCTTATTTTACCCTCAGGCTCTCTTTGACTGGCTCCAAAGAGGCACAGAATATTGGCAGGTTCCTTTACCTGCCCGCTGCTCCGACTGGGAGAGATGGTGCCTGTTGAGAAATTCTAAGCTGTTTTGGAAGCAAACCAATCTTCTCAGATTTAGCCTGTATGCTAGAAAATTGGGATTGAGAGAGTATGGCAGTTCAGCTCGTTTGAAAAGAACCACGAATCACTCAAAGCCAGATTTCACTTCCCTGTTACGACCTATTTCTTTTTCTTTCACGAGTTTTTCCCAACTTCATGGAGAGCTGTTGATGTTGAAGCAAGAAAAATTGGGCAAGAATCTTGTACAAAATAAAGACTGGACCAGTTGTTTAAGAATCTTGTAACTATCTTAAGCCACGTGTGCGTGCATGCACACACACACACACACACACACACACACACACACACACACAGGCACACGCATACATACATACACAACACACATATTTATAAGCCAAGTTAGTAACATAGTTGAATACTTTAGAGTAGCACAGGGTGTAAGGGCAGGCTGGACAATACGTGGTCTCTGAGGGACGTGCACTCTTCTCCAGACAGTTGCCATACATAGATACAGAGTGGCTAGAATGTCAGCACTTTTAATAGGAATCACAGAATCTGGAATTTTATATAAATACACCTATATCCTGGAAAAAAGTTCAGAAAGTTAACACTTTGTGTGAGTGAAACAAACCAGTGGTCTGATTGCAGTGTACAAGCTAATAGTTCATATTCTGTTTCCAATTAGATTTCTCCCCTCTCTTCTGTGACCTTTATTTTTTTTGAATCCCAATAGAATATTAAAGGGGAAAACAGAAGCAGACTTACATGTAGAACAAATGTTTTTTTTTTTTTTTTTTTTTTTTTTTTTTTTTTTTTTTTTTTTTAAAGTTTCTCATTGCTATTATGTCCCAATGCTTAGAAATGGGTCTTTCAGGGACTTTCCCCCCAGTCAGGTCTGCTAGGTTCTGAGTTTTCTCTCACTGCTGAGGATTTCATTAGGGCATCACGGAGGGGGTTCTTTCCAAGGCCCTTCTCTTCAGTCTCTAAGCCTGGGCTATGGAAAAGACATTGTGAAGCAAACCTGCTACCCCAGGCTTCCCCGGAGGCCAGGCTAGGAGCGACTGTCTAGTACTGCCACAGAGACACTCCATCTAATGGCAGCTCCTTCCGCTAGAGCAGGATCCTGTGTCCCTTTGCCAAATCTTCAAACATTCATATGACACCGAAAAACACATTTTAGTCACTGGAATCAACATTGAGACACATTTTCTGTTTAATATTGACATGAGTTTAAACCCTTTCATGTCTTTCTGAATATTTAAAGAGAAATTTCATTTTCATTTTCATTCTGAACGCCATCAAATACATTCATGTTTTGACATCTAGCATACTAGCACAATTAAATGATGAGGTTTGTTTTTTCTAAAACAGGGTCAAAAGTCAATCACAAAAATGTAAATCTAGCTTTTTCATATAAAACCTGGAGGTAGAATTTGCTGTCTTTTATGGCTTAGCCTTGAACAAAATTATGAAAGCTATTTCCCGTAAGCCAGGTTATTTTTCTTCTATACAAAAACAAGAAATTGTTGAGCAATGAAGATTAGTAGCGATTAGTCATACTTACATAGAGTGTATTGGTTTGCAGGCGAGGGACAGCAACAAGAAGAGGTAGTTCTGAATGCGCCATGGACTGCAGAAAAGCATGAGCCGCAGAGAGAGGAACAGATTCCACACGGGCCTCAGCAATCCTAAAATCATTGTGTTAACAATTTCATTTTTCCCCCCATGCATGTACTGCAATCTTGGAAAGCAAATTTCTAAGTATATTATACCAACCACAAAATTATCTGTTATGTATTAGTCGATTAAAGTTTTTTCCTTCAGAGCAAGCCAATAACTTTAGTTTTAGAACTTCCTTGTCAGCCTGAGAAAACTGGACTTGTATAAAGGTAAAGTTTCAGCTAAGTGTGGTGTCCTTTAATCCCAGCACTCAGGAGGCAGAGGCCAGCTGCTCTGAGTTCGAGGCTAGCCTGGTCTACAGGGTAAATGTCAGGGCTACACCGAAACCCTGTCTCAACAAAACAAAACAAAACAAAACACAACAAGAACAACAAAACCAACCATGTAAGGGCCGCGGTCCCAACGCAGCTCATCAGGCAGTGCCATAGGGCAGTGAATAGCAGCCAGGTCTGTATGATGATAAGATAAAGCCCTGGTAGGGTCAGGTTGACCTGGTAAGTAAGCAGAATGTCCTATTAGAATTTACAGAAAGTAACTGAAATTATGTCATGCTTTAAAAAAAAATACTTGAAACATCATTTATACCCAGGTTTATGAGTCCTTGTAAGAGTTTGTGCGTTTTCTCCAATTAAATTATTATTTTTGTCGAAGGCTAGCTTGGTGGGGCTAGGGTGGAAGGGGAGCAGAGCTGGAGGACATACATAACTTGTCTTAATCCCTCAGAAGTGTAGGCCTGGCAATCACTTAAGACAATATCGTTGATATAGCTGTCAGGGAGGGAGGACTCTTTCCAAGAGAGTGTTTTTTATAGAATATCATTGTGCCACTTTGTCCAGATGGATGTCTTTAGTAGTATTTGATTAATGTAATGCAATAAAAGAGATGCTCACCAAAGTGTCTGTACATGTCTTGTTAAGTGTGCTTGATTCATTATATGTGGTTCCCCATTCTTTCCTCTTTCCCTAGTTCATTTTTTATCATTTCAGTAATATATCTATAAATATGAAAAAGTTGGCACTTTCAAAGTATTTGACATATATAGCTATTAATTCATAACTCTAAAAAATTGTATCTTTCAACCTGTCATTTTAGAGCTTGCAGAGTTTATTACCGTAAGTAACCTGTGTTAGAAATTAGATTTTGAACTTTACAGAGAAGATTAAAAAAAAAACCTCACGAACTCAAAAGTTGTAGAAAAATACCTAGACATAATTCTAAGATAGGATTGCATGGAAAGGTCTCTCACTGGGGACTGTAACCTCTGTAAACATTACACTGTGCTTGATACTGGTTACTAGTTTCCAACCTATTTTGGTTTCTCTGTAGGCACCAAATACAGAGCAAGTCTATTGCCAGCTGAGCTCTCCTAACACAGTTCCGATACACTGTTGCCGTGGACGGAGGAACAAACCTCACAGTTTGTTCACCAATGGTGCAGATTATTTTACCCAAAGTTATTCTGAAGGCAAAATCAAAGTTGGATTGACTTCTGTACACATTTTACTTACTGCTATTTTAGCTACAGTAAGCTGTTTATGAACAGGAAGCTAACTAAGATGGGTAGCACCGGCCAGATCACCATTTGCTAAGGAACAGAACTGGCCTTCAAACTCAGCAGTCTGGCTCTGGAACCTTTGACCTCCTCTGGGGCTGCCAACCTTGGAATGTTTCTTTTCTTTCTTTCTTTTTAAGATTTATTTTTTTAAAAAGATTTATTTATTCAGTGTACATTGGGGTTTTGCCTGTATGTATGTCTGTGTGAAGGTATCAGATCCCCTGAAACTGGAGTTCCAGGCAGTTATGAGCTGCCATATGGATGCTGGGAATTGATCCCTGGTCCTTTGGAAGAACAGCCAATGCTCTTAACCACTGAGCCATCTCTCTAGGCCCTCCTTGGAATGTTTCTGTCTTCATTTCTTTGGTCCTACTTTATGTCCTTTACTACATCGGTCTGACGGTGTGGCCTGTTCGTGTTCATGCTTCTTTCTTTGGTTCAATTAAGAAAATCAGGGCCAGTCATCTGGGGTGCAAGTCTGAGTGCTAGAGGAGTGAACTCTGGCTCATGAATGTTTTGGGGGATTTGGGTGCCAGGCTAGAATCAAGTGTGAAATAAGCCTGTGGCAGAGGCTGAAGGTGAGGCCTGAGGACACGGTTTGTGTGGGAGCCTCACGGTCACTCTGCGTGACTCATTCAGCCTCAGTAGCACAGCCGTGAACCATCTGCACACACCTGGGACCAGGTTCCTGCTGTGGCTCTTCTTCCACAGTCCTCATGGCTCCCACTCTCAAAGCATAGAACCGCGTTTGGCCTTGTCACTGGGAGATGATCATGAAGGAATATTAAAGAACAGATGGCCCTAATCCTCAGCTTCTCTCTTCCTGGGAAGACTGTTACAACTTCTGGGTTATGACGGACACCTGATGCTTCTTTCTTTTCTCCTGTCCTGCAGGGAAGGGGTGGGTTTTGGGCTTAGCTAGGCCCTAGCCTAGCTCTCAATAATGCATTTACCAATTCTAAGACTGTGGGCAACTCACTTATTATTCTTGGACTCATTACTTCTTGGAAAACTATAAAACTTAGAGAACGGGATGGGAGCATTTTTACGCATTTATGGGAAGTTAACCCAGAAGTTTTAACACAGTCTTCAATGGTCACTTGGTCAAGTCCTCCAGCTTAAGAATGGCGGCTGCAAGAGCACTAAGTAAGAATGATAATTTTATTAATTTTTCTATCTATTTAGTGTCAAGTAGGAGGAAAATAGGGCTGACAATGTTTGCTAATCATTTTTTTCCAAACAAGACTTTTAAAAATCATGCATAATATCTCGAGAACTAGGCAGGATGTAAAAGAGGGCCAAGGGAAAAGAAGTGTCACTACACCCGCCATTTTCTTGAGAGGAGAAATCATGGGAACATGGCCCTTTCTTCTTTTTACACAGAGCCATCCACTCCTGTCCTCTCCCAAGACTTTTCAAGCCTCTGAGCTCTGCTCCTGCCAGGGCCGGATGCTGTTCATTATGGATGCTGTCCTGTTAGCCAGGGCCAGAGGAGGTAGACATCAGGGACAGACTGTATTGCTTAGGAATGTACATGTTGAGAACACACTGAAGCGAATGAATGATAAAATCATAGTTCTGAGGATTCTTCTGTTCCTGGAGAGGGAAAGGAAAGTTGAGTTGTAATCTTAAGGGGCCCGGGTCTATCATTTCCACTCAGTATGTTGGCAAGCTCCCTTCACCTTTGGGAGCCTAACCTACCTGAGAAATGAGGGGCCTGAACCCAATCATCTCTTGAACGTCACTCCAGTTTGCATGCCATGGGCTTGGCTTTTCTGAGTAAACAGTAAGTAAACCCAGGGTTGCGAAGCAGAAACAGGGTCCTTGCTCATCACTGTAAATGTCCACGATGTCAAAACGCAGGACGGTAAAAAGTGAAGTTGAAAAATGAGGAAGGGGTGTGACAGGGTGTAATCTAAACTGTTTTGAAGGGTGTGCACTTTTTAGGTTGCTGAAATTCAGCGTTGGAAAATATGTCTTCTGTTAGCTTATTTTAGAATTAGTCCAGTTACATTGCATTTGATACATAAAGCAAGCACAGCTTGCTCTGCTCAAGTTATCACATTTTCCTGATAGAAGACAACCTTGGATGGTTGTTTTCCTATTGGGGGTTCAAGAGAGATGGCTTCACTCATCAAAGGGCCAAGAGTCTACAAAGGAGGAGTAAGAGAGGGATTGGTGACTTTAAAGACTTAGGATTACATTCATAATAGATCATATTAAGTTTATTATTGAAACTTATATATGCTTCCAAAATACACAAAATGTAGTGAAGTATATAATGAATCTCTAAGGTCTCATGATCAAAAGTGAACTATGAATTCCTGGGCAACTTCTGCCTTATTCTTCCATTCAGTCTGGTCTGAGCATGATTCCTGTGGGGGTTAAGCAACCTCCCCCAAGTCTATCTTTCTGTGAATACTTCCAAGTGCATCTCAGAAAGGAAGAATGATTTAAAGGGCAAGTGAAATAGTAACAGGCCTGAAAGTTCACAAAAATCCCTTCATGCTGCACAGCAGAAGGTCAAGGCTTAGCTTTCTTGACTTAACCCATGTAGCTTAAATAATTTGTTTCAATCTCGAGCCTAATAAGGCCCACAGATAACGTGGTGACTATGTCTCTTAAGTCTCTTTCAATCTATGAGTTTCCTTCTATATTTCTTTCCTTAACAGCTATTTGGTGAAGAAAATGGGTCATTTTGTGTGTGTGTGTGTGTGTGTGTGTGTGTGTGTGTGTGTGTGAATTTTCTGATATTAAGGATTAAATTTCTGTCCTGTCTTTCAATATGTTCCTTAGTTGCTTCCATTTCCCATAAATTGATACCTAAAGGCATGGTTTGATTCAGGTTAAAAGAGTTTTATGTGATGTGTAGTAATGATTATATATAACAATAAATAATTTTTTATGCTTTATGAATGCAAAATATATTTCTACCAGGAGGCAAACAATGCCCAATTGTCTTCTTTTGTGATATTAGTAGCTGTTTTTAATCATTGTCCAGGTCCCTTAATTCATTAGAGTTTGTAATATATTAATTCTATTAATATAATCCCTTTTTAACCTAGTAGCTGAAATATTTCTATTATGAGAAACTTCTACTGTTTGATTACCCGGAGGGAATTTATGTTCATTACTATTTGTGTAAGAAACTCCAGAGAAATACTGGATTTAACCGTTTGTTTACTAGCTTGCAGCCTGCTTTCTAAAATTTCTCGAAGGAAACTAATGAAAATTGTGTGTGCATTTTAAAATGATGCCATTCTGGACTCCCGTGTTGAGGAATACGTGGACTGTCGTATGAACTTACAGAGAGGCTGTGGTAGCCTGCACAGGACCTGCAATGGGTCTCTACCAGATGGAGTCCTTGAGCTGAAAGGAGAAGTGGAAGCTAGTCCCAGCCCTACCCCAGAAGCTGTCTCCAACAGACAGCCACTTGCAAATAAAATCAGTTTCTTCCAAGGGAGCCTCACGGGGACACGGCTCTTAGGAGTAGACCCCTGCCCAGCTTCGCAACCCTGGGTTTACTTATTGTTTTCTCAGAAAAGGCCAACACAAAACAAACTCAATGACATCCTTGGACGTTCTTTTCCTCATAGCATTAAATCAGAGGTTTTTGTTTGTTTGGTTTTTACCTTACAGGTCCTTTGTGTATATATTACGGCTTCTGGTTTTGTGTTTTTATGGGATTCTTGTGTATATTGATGTGTGTGTTTCTGCTTCTATACACATTTCTTGTAGGTTTTTTTTGGGGGGGAGGGGGTCTTTCCTTGTTTGTTTTGTCCTATTCTGATTTTTTCTAAAATCTTATTTTATTTTATTATTATTCCTTAGATGCCTGTTCACTTTCTAATGAGAGTCAGAATGGGTGTGGACCCAGGTGGGAGGGGAAGCTGTAATCAGAATATATTGTATGAAGAAAAAAAATCTATTTTCAAT